CATGTTTACTCTTATATGCATAACCTACATTTAAAATTGTGTGTGTGTGTGTGTATGTATGTCATGAAACTGCAAGGAGTTTACAAGAAAGATGGGAGGAGAGCTTAATGGAGGTAAGGAATTGAGAAACAATGGAGGACATGTTATAACAAAGAAGAGGAGCCATACTAGGGGGAAAAAAAGAATTTGCATGAAGTAGAATGGAGAGCACTGAAGGAGGGAAAAAAGAGAGAACAAATGAGAGGTGAAGTCATAGAGAAACGTATTACTGTGTATGCTGAAGTAAATAATAAAAATTATAAGAATTGATTATACTTGTTACTATCAAATAATACTGTTCATCACCAAATGTAAATTTCAATTTTCTGTAATTACCTTTTCTAAATATGGATAAAATAAAGGTAGGATCTTTCCAACAGAAAAGAAGCATATTTGGCAGAGGACTGGAGAGCTAGCTCAGTGTGGAGAGGGCGTATGTATGCTTCCCAGCACACATAGCTCACTCTGACTCCAATCTAGGGAATCTGGTATTCTCTTCTGGACCCTATATGTGCAGATTCCTTTACTAACACATTCCCATACCTCTTCAACACTATATAATTAAAAAAATAAAAATAAACTATAAATATATATTTGGCAGAGAACATGTTTTCAAATGATTACTTTAATATCTTGCCCACATAGTTTAATGTCAACAACTCATGTGCTACTCAAAATTAGAAATTTTGGTGAGACAGTGGTCCTTAAGTACATAGTATTTTGTCATTTCCCAGTTGGCTTGCTTCTTAGAAGATGGCCTCACACTATTACATTTAAAATTAATATTCTCCTGATGGTAGTTTGCTACTATTCTTGGGAAAGAGCCACAGTAAATACGTACCTTCTACAATAAACAGAATTATGAACACAGATGTTTAACCCTGAATTTAAATAGATACATTGCTAGAATATACATTTTAATTAAAAATATTTATTAAAAGTATTTATACTATTTTTTGTGTATTGGTGTTTGCATATATATAGGTATGTGCACCACATGCATGCCTAGTGCCTAAAGAGATCAGAAAAGGAGGTCAGACACTCTGGACCTGAATTTAAAGATGGTGGTGAATCAACCTGTGGGTGCTGAGACCCAAATCCAGGACCCCTGCAAGGGTGCCAAGTACTTTTAGAAACAGAGCCAACACTCCTCAGTCTCTGGCATATAAATTTCTAAGACAAGTTGTTTTAAAACTCTAAAAATATTGAGCTGGGCTGGTGGCACATGCCTTTGTTCCCACCACTTGGGAGGGAGAGGCACTCTAGGCCAGCCTGGTCTACAAAGAGAGTTCCAAGGCAGTGCACGCAGGGCTACATAGAGAAAAACAAACACAACAAACAAACAAAAATAACAAAAAAAACCTTCCAAAAATGTAAAAAGTTATTTTACATTCTCATTTGCCCCTGTATGCCCAAATCTGAGAGTAGAGAACAGGGGGAAACCCTGGGCTTTCTGATTAGGCCTTTAAAGGAGTGACTGTGCCTTCAAGTGAGTGTGCTCAAGAGCCTCAGATCCAGGGTCCCTAGATTCTAGCAGCCAGAAATCAGATCCCTCCCACCCACACCCCTATTGTGGGCAACAGAGGAAACCATGGGACAGCATGCTCCACATTGAAGCAACTTAATGGCACACCTAAAATCCCTAGGAAAAAAAAGAAGCAAACACACCCAAGAGGAGTAGATAATTGGAAATAATCAAACTTAGAGATGAAATAGAAACAAATAAAACAATTCAAAGAATCAAAGAGACCAAGAGCTGGTTCATTGAGAAAATCAACAAGATAGACAAACCCTTAGCAAAACTAACTAAAAGGCAGAGCTATACTATCCAAATTAGCAAAATCAGAAATGAAAAGGGGGACATAACCACAGACACTGAGGAAATCCAAACAATCATTAGGACTTACTTCAAAAGTGTATATGCCACAAAATTTGAAAATATAAATGAAATGGACAATTTTCATGAAATGGACAATTTTCATGATAGATTCCATTTACCAAAATTAAATCAAGATCATGTAAATAGATTAAATATCGCCCAAGGAAATAGAAGCAGTCATCAAAAGTGTCCATTCCAAAAAAAGCCCAGGGCCAGATAGTTTCCGGGCAGAATTCTACCAGACCTTCAAAGAACTAGCTCCAGTTCTTTTCAAACTGTTCCACAAAATAGAAAGAGAAAGAACATTACCAAACTCATTCTATGAAGCCACAGTCACCTTGATACCTAAACCTCACAAAGATCCAACAAAAAAGAGAACTTCAGACCTATCTCTTTCATTAACATTGATGCAAAAAAATCTCAATAAAATACTTGCAAACTGAGTTCAAGAACACATAAAAGATTCCATCCACCATGACCAAGTAGGTTTCATCCCAGGCATGCAGGGGTGGTTCAATATATGGAAATCCATCAATGTAATCCACCATATAAACAAACTGAAGGATAAAAACCACATGATCATCTACTTAGATGCTGAAAAAGCATTTGACAACATCCAACACCCATTCATATTTAAAGACTTGGAGAGTTCAGGGATACAAGGCACATACCTAAACATAATAAAGACAATATATAGCAAGCCTATAGGCAACATCAAACTAAATGGAGAGAAACTTAAATCAATCCCACTGAAATCAGGTATAAGGCAAGGCTGCCCACTCTCTCCATATCTCTTCAACGTAGCACTTGAAGTACTAGCTCGAGGAATAAGACAACTAAAAGAGATCAAGAGAATATGAATCAGAAAGGAAGAAGTCAAAGTGTCACTATTTGAAGATGGTATGATAGTATACATGAGTGACCCCAAAAATTCACCCAGAGAACTTCATCTGATAAACACCTTCAACAAAGTGTCTGGATAAAAAATTAACTCAAAAAAATCAGTAGCCCTCCTGTATACAAAAGACAAACGGGCTGAGAAAGAAATTAGGGAAACTACACCCTTCACAATAACTATTAATAACATAAAGCACCTTGGTGTGACTCTAACCAAGCAAGTGAAAGACCTGCTTGAGAAAAACTTCAAGTCTTTGAAGAAAGAAATTGAAGAAGATATCAGAAAATGGACAGTTCTCCTATGCTCATGGCTCTGCACAATTAACATAGTAAAAGGTCATCTTACCAACAACAATCTACAAATTCAGTGCAAGTCCCATCAAAATACCAACACAATTCTTTACAGACCTGGAAAGAAAAATTCTCAGTTTCATATGAAAAAACAAGAAACCCAGAATTGCTAAAACAATCCTGTAACACAACAGACCATCTGGAGGTATCTCCATCCCTGATCTCAAGCTGTACTATAGAGCAATAGTGATAAAACTGAATGGTATTGGGATAGAAAAAGAATGTTGGTTCAGTGGAATTGAGTAGAAGACCTAGAAATAAACCCACACACCTATGGATACTTGATTTTTGACAAAGAAGCCAAAACCATACAACGGAAAAATGACAACATTTTCAACAAATGGTGCTGGTTCTTTTTTGAGACTGATACTCCAACCAAGGTCCATGCATTGAGATAACTTAGAACCCCTGCACAGATGTAGCCCATGGCAGCTCAGTCTGCAATTGGGTCCCTAGTAATGGGAACAGGGACTGTCTATGACATGAACTCAGTGGCTGGCTCTTTGATCACCTCCCCATGAGGAGGTGTGCAGCCTTACCAGGCCACAAAAGAGGAAAGTGCAGTCAGTCTTGATGAAACCTGATAGGCTAGGATCTGATGGAAGGAGAGGAGGACCTCCTCATCAGTGGACTTGGGGAGAGGCATGGGAGGAGATGCAGGCGGGAGGGTAAGATTGGAAGGGGATGAGGGAGGGGGCTACAGCTGGGATACAATGTGAATAAACTGTAATAAGTGAAAAATAAATAAATTTAAAATAACACTCTGACACTTATAACACGAGCATCTATAATTTTAATTAACCTTTTAATAGTTAGGAAGAAATGTGAACACTTTTATAAACAAAATACTGTATGCATTTAAGTTCTGAGACTGTTCATCATATTAAAACTACATAGCACATGACATCACAAAATTATAGGGCTATAAGAAAACCTCCTGTAGGTAGTCTAGGTATAAGTCTTGACTCCAATCAGATTCCTCTTGATATAGAAATATTTAAACTCATTTGACAGTTGTTTTGGCTCATTTACCTTGTCACATTGGTGTCAGACACCGGTCTTTACAAATGTAGAGTGCCCATTTTCCTTTACAACACCGTATATAGTCGTATATAGTAGAAAACCAGACTGAAACAAATTCTCTTAGTTACTGTTGTTTTACTTTTAACACAAGCACTTAGGATATTAATGTGAGATAAAATTTCACAGTCTAAAATTATATACTGAAATTATAAATGAACACAGTAAGTGTATAGATACACTGTGGCTTCTGGATTTAACATTACACACTGGTCAAAACACTTCAAACTTTAAGGCATTGGAAACCCCAATAAAAGGTTGAAAAATTCTATGACAATTCAAAATATTCATTTTAAAGCAAGTGTAGGGACTGGGGACAACTGGGTCATTACAATGCACGTGTGAAACGTAGGTGATCACTTGAGGAAAATGATGACTTAGTCTTTGAATTTGTAATGCAAGATTATTACTGTATGTGAATAAAGTCAGGAAGATGTTAAATTGTATAAGCCAAGATGCCTTGTACTGAGATATTGGAATAAAAATCCACTTTGCAAAAGGAACAGCAAGACATAAATTGTTACAATAATCACATACAAGTGAAGTAATTACGAATACACAAAATTGTCTTGACTTTTTTTCAATAATAAATCCAGTGTGAAAGGAGCACTAAATATGAGGTGAACTGAAAAGCCACTTAACTTTAGAGGTCACATAATATTCTGATGAAAATACCAAGAAAATAATAAATTCTCTTTAAAGCAGTATACTATCTATAACCTGTAATTATATCGCCTGCTAATCTTTAAGAAGCCTATTCTGGAGTATAAATTTTTTTCAAACAAACTTCCACTTTATTGTTACCCAAGTTACAGATATCCAAGATATAGATGATGTGGACTCTAGTCAGTTCAGCTGCTGCTTTTACAATATCACCTAAAAGTAAAACAAAACAAAACAAAACAAACAAACAAAAAACAAAAAAAAATACAACAAAAAACAGATGGTAAGTATTGTAAAATAGTTCAATATTTACTTGGATTTAGAATCACACAATCTGATGATTTTTTTTTTCTTACAGCATTAATGATCTCCCTAATCTCTTTAATTCAGCACATGTACTTACCACATTTCTCGAGATAGAGGAGAGCACACCTACAGATGCATTCGATAACATTCTTGTTACCTTGGTTTTTTGTTTTTGTTTTTTTTTTTGTTTGTTTTGTTTTTTGTTTTTTTTTTTTTTGGTCTTTTTGTTATTTTAATTTTTTTTTCCAGAGCTGAGGACCACTGAACCCAGGGCCTTGCGCTTGCTAGGCAAGTGCTCTACCACTGAGCTAAATCCCCAACCCCTCGATAACATTCTTGTATGCATCTCCCAGAGTATTTGGTTTTCTTTCTTTCTTTCTTTCTTTCTTTCTTTCTTTCTTTCTTTCTTTCTTTCTTTCTTTCTTTCTTTCTTGTGAAGTAAAGCAAATCTATATATTTTCAAGGTCACAAACAAACATCTCCTTAGATGTTTAAGGAAGTACAAAGATGAGTTATTTTATCTTCATAGGCAATTAAATATAATTTTGGAAAAAATCTATGAAGTATATAGCAAGCCATCAACGTATCCTACATATTTAAATTTCATTTATATGCATGTTTATAGGTGTATATGCATGTAAATGAATATTCTTTCAAAGTGTATATATATTTTTAGAACTAACAGTTTTGTATACTCTGATGGCCCTTTATTAAATAAATGGATTAGGTGAACGGTATCACTGAAAATGGCAAGGGACTCCAAGTCTCTGTCTCTCTTAGCATGCAGAGTATAATTTGGCAAGATAAACAGAGTTAATATGAACCAAATTGCAGAACTTAGACAAATATTTAGAACCATCAAGACAAATATTTATGAAGAAAGAAATTGTTGTCTTGTAGTGTGAGCATTCTTGGAAGTAAACTGCCTGCTCACTACCATTCACATGCCAGACGACTGGCAACCACAAGCAGAGCAGTTCACATCCCTGGTGAAGTTTGTTAGACTGAAGGGACCAATTCAGTCTATCCTAATTGATGCCATTTTGTTTTGCTCTATCTGACAGTTACCTCAGCCACAGACATGAGAGGTTGCTTTTGTTTTACCATTGCTCTGGTGACTTCCCAGAAGACGTTTTTGTTAAAAGCATGTAATGTAAAGTATAGGTTAGAATGAGCAATAGACTGAAACTCCAGGGTAGCAAGAAGTCGAGAAATGAAATATATAAGGGAACAAGTTCTTTTAAAAGATGTTGTGTAGCTGGGCACTGTGGCACAAGCCTTTAATCCCAGTGCTCAGGAAAACAGAGGCAGGCAGATCTGTGTGTATGTTCGAGCCCAGCCTTGTCTACAAAGTGAGTCTAGGACAGGTGAGGCTACCCAGAGAAACTCTGTCTTGAAACTCCTGCCCCACCCAAAAGAAGATCTTGTGTAAGAAGAACATACTATATATACACCCAAGGTTTGCTATGTGGCATGAGAAGCCTGTGATCATCCACTTATAGCAGACTTCAGGAGGAAGTAAAGTCCAAGGCAGAATTACAAAATGGCCTTGTTACATGAAGAAGTTTGTGGCACAGAGCCAATTTGGAAAATTTAGGAGAAAGAATTTGCTTTGCTTTTTTCAATTTTTTTTGGCTTTCATGTTTTAAGGAAGCTGTCAAAATACTAGGCAACCACTCTTCAGCTAAATGGATAATAGACTTCACTGACAATATAAGCCCAGGATTTTGTTTTAAATACAAAATAGTAAAAACATTGAGAAGTAACATGATGGTTACTTCTCAAGTAACAGCATGGCATCATGGTATATACTTTTCACTTATTATGCTAGAGATACAAACTGTGCTAAAGTGTAGGGACTTCGTTTTGTTGTTTTTTGTTTGTTTGTTTGTTTAATAAAAGCATGCAAATGAGCCTTAGATGAGTTGTATGCAAGCTCATGCTCCAATAATGTCACAGTAGATTCTCCTCTAGTAGATACCTTAAAAAAACCCTAATGAATGAATTAAACTGGTGTAAATCTAGTAAAATGCAACGAATGTTACCAACAATTGCTGATACTATATAACTATCTTCTTTATGTATGAAGGACATTAATCTTTGAAACTTTGAAAAGTTCCAAGATCTTTATATTTGATGCTAACTGAAGCAACCCAAAGCTTTCATATAGCCACTTTTAAAACTGACATACACAACATCTACAACATAAAACTGAAGATTTCTCTCTGTCTGACTCTGGCAGTTATGTTATGGCATGAGTAAATGGCAATTTACTGAACAATCTGCATATCTAGTACCTACATGGTAGACTGTCTTGAGGATGAACTACATGTGAAGCTCTTAGAATTGTGGTTAACATACAGAAAACACTAATATATTAGCATTATTTTTATTGCAGAAGAGCCTTCATTATAACATTAAGATATCAGTTATGTCACAGAAGCCCTTTGGAATGGGACTATAGGATTTTACACATATAAAATGAGCTTCTGTAAATTTGCATGAAGTTATTAGAATTACATATTTTAGAAAAATAAATGTATGAAGTCAATATGACAGAGTAATCGCCAAATGTTCCCAGTGTTTCTTATTTCTTAGTCACAGGGGAAGAGAAAGTATCCTAGTCTCCGTAGTTTACTGGTATCATGTAACAGTTCTGGCAAATGGGAATGTGGGCTGGCATGATGCATCATTTCTTGTCCAATGTAAATAAAAACCAATTTGTTCTCCATCTCTTCCTTTGCTTTCACAAGTCTAGAAGCCATTTTCTCCTGCTGGCTTAGCAACAAGAGGGAAGCAAGCTGGTTCATGAAAAGAGAGTTGCTTGCTGCCTGCACGACACTTGAGCAAGAAAGAGACTGTAATTGTGGTCAGTCACTGTGACTTTAGAGCTGCTTTGTAACTGCAGCACACTTCAACCTACAATACAATACAGTGCAGTAATTCTTGTCTCTGAAATCAATATGGGAAACCCTTATTACCCAGAGAATAAAGGTGTTTTTTTTCCCCTAAATACGTAAAATTTCCTCTGTATTACACCACAGTTACAAACTGTTGTTCAGTGGACATATTAAAATAATGCTTTCAAGTGACTATAATGTGTATATATGTATAGTCTACCCCATGATAAAAATGATACCAAGAAGGATTTAATATTAGTAAGATTAAATGATTTGTGATAAATGGTTAATCATTTGCAAACTGTAATGCTAGATCCTTATTTCATCCTCCACATTGATTAATTCTAAATGGATTAAAATTTTAAACTGTAGAAAGAAAGTCATATTCATGATAACTTATCCCACTAAAAATTAAAAAAAAATGAGCAAAAACTCAAATAGAAAGCTCTCCAAAGATATACATGTGGTCCATATGTATGTGAAAAAAAAATGCTCAAATTATTAGTAATGAGTAGAAATGCAGACCCAAACTCACAAGAATACCACTTCCTGTCCATTAGCACAGCTCTAAACTAAACACAACAAAACAAAACACAACAAAAAAAGAACTTCAAGATATTTCAAGGATTAGGGTACTTGGGGAAAGTCTGATCACTTGCATTTGGTCCCTGGAGCCCACAGAGTAGAAGGAGAGAATGGACTCCTGCAAGTTTTCCTCTGACCCCTACATGTCTACCATGGCACACATGCATGTGCCATAATGAGTGCACACACACGCGCACACACACGCACACACGCACACACACACGCACACACACTATTTATAAATAAATGTGTGATTATTTAAAAATTCAACAACACAACAAGTTAACAAGTGTTGGTAAGGCTGTGGAGACATTTGAATCTTCACATATTGCTGGTGGGATATATAAAATAGTGTACTTTCTACGGAAAGTGGTTTGGCAGTTCTTTAAAAACTTGCACACAATAATACCATATATAATGCAGAATGTGGTGACAGTCACCTGTAATCCCACCACTGAGGCAGGCCTCTTTGAATTCAAGGTCAGCCTAGTTTACAAAGAGAGTCCAGAACAACCAAGGGAAAACATAGAAACCCTGTCTCTAAAACAAACAAAGAAACAAACAAACAATGCCATATAATTCAGTAATTCTATATTGAGGTATTTATATGCACCTGAAGAACTCAAAACATGGATTCAAAGACATGCTTGTATATACATGCTCAAAGCAGAATTATTTACAATATCTAAAGTTGGAAATAAGCCAATTTTTCTAGAAATTTAACAGATAAACAAAATGTGATATATAATACAATGAGAAATCATTCAGCCACAAAAAGGAATGAAATTGTGATACATATTCTAACATGGATGAACCCTGACAATGTTATGCTAAGTCAAATGAGCTAGATATAAAAGGGCAGATACTGTATGATTTCATTTAAATGAAATACCTAGAAGAGGCAAATGCATAGAAAAAGTAAAATGAGAATTGCTGTTTAACTTTCTTGCATGTGATCACAATAAAAATATGTGAGGAAGAAAAAAAGTATAAGAATACCTTCAAAACAATGACTTAGGTATATATATGAACATGTACATGTGTGTATGTGTGTGTGTGGAGGCCAGAGGTCAATCTTATGTGTCATTCCTCTAGAGCAAACACCTTGTGGGGCTCTCTCACTGGGACCTGTTACTGGCTGGTTAGTATCTGCCTGTCTCTGCCTCTTTCACCAAGCCAAGATTTTCCATGGATGCTCATGATCTGAACTCAGGTCCTCACGCTTGGATGGCAAGCACTTTTCTGATTGAATCATCTCTCTGGGCCAATAGTGAAGTTCTATAGTTTTAAACTGGTGATGCCTCTGAATATGACTTAAAATGAAGAACCACAAATAAATCTTGATATAGCTGAGTACTTAAGAATAAAATTACTTAAATATGAAAGCAGGCCTCCTTTTGAAGAAATGTCAAACTGAGAAAAAAAGCATTTTTAATATATAATAAATGGTGTTTTTTAAAAATTTAAATATACAACGAAGGCTATTTTTTTCAATGTGAAAAGACAACCCATAAGTTAACAACAGGGTAGATAAATAGCATTCATAGGAAAATGTAAAAAAATGCTAGCATTGATGTTTCTAGAAAAAAACAAAAATAAACAAACAAACGGCTAACAAGGAATTTCAAGCTCTAAGACAATAAAGACTTAGTGTGCTAGTGAGCTGGCTCAGTGGGCAAAAGTGCTTGCTAACTTGTGTTTTATCTCTGGGACCTACACAGTGGGAGAGAACTAGCTCCTGCAAGTTGTCCTTCGGTCTCCACCTACTTGCCATGGTATAAGGCCCCTACAAATAAATAAATGTAACAAAGATAATTAAGAAGCATAAACCCAAAACAACAATACCTGGAGTTCACAAGGGTTTGGTTGAAATATCAACCTTCCTTTGGTTCTAATTAAATTATTATAGCCATATAGAGGACAATTTTACTGTATTTACCACAGTTTTCAATGTATTTGTCTTTTGAGTCACCAACTTCTAGGAAGTGATGATATAGATGTAGTTGTATCATTATACAAAGATTTCATGTCTACGTACATACACACACATATGCATACTTGGTAACAGTGTTACTTGGCAACAGAAAAATCATTTGAAAACAATCTATTTGTGAGACAAAGTTTCTAGCACTGTCGGACCTAAAATTTGTTATACCAGACAGGCTGGCCTCAAAATCAGAGATCCTCTGGCCTTAGCCTTCTGAATTTTGGGGTAAAAGGTGTGAGCCAACATGCCTGGCCTGATTTGAACTAGTCTTAAACACTCTTCAATAGGGGACCATGAAAGCAAATTTTGGCATAGTCACACAATATTTTGTTGACTACTTTGAATATTTTGTTGTTTCTAAAAAGAATAAGGAAGCTCTTGCTACACATGTATGAGAAATGTACTATAGTGGGAAAGCTAATTATAAAGCTATGTTTTTAGAACATAATTTATGTGTATTTATTTGATAGAAAATTATAATCGGTATATACTGTTGTTTGAAAACTTATTGTAAATAAGTGAAAAAAGGCTGGACCTGGGAAGACAAGGATTTTTCTATAACTGTAGAAAATTTAAATTATTAAAGTGCATAGATTTTATTAAAATCTATTCTCTTTTTAAAAAGAAAATAGCTTATAATTTTTAAAAGATGACACCAGTGTTATCCCTGTGCCACTGTTTTATATCACCAAGCCTATTTTGATCTCTCATGCTAGAATCATGAAAGGAATGGAAAAGTCTGGAATCAGGCAAACTTTCAGATTCAAATTCTTGCTCTGTTATTCATGCTGGCGAGATGCTAACTTTCAGTGTGGTCACCTGTCAATAGTGGATAGGAGTGTTCCTTTTTTGCCAGGGTCTCCATGAGGATTAGCTGAAAGGCCACGCACACTGATCTGCACTGTCATTTTTATTACTGCTGTATCATCAAAGATGTGATATTCCACTCACAATGAATCATTTTGCTTGTAATTGCTACCTTACCTTTCTCCTCTAGTGATTTGTGTCCTTCATGTCCAAATATTAACTACTTGGCAGACTGGGAGCAAGTACTTTTCATGTGACCATGCTAATGGTGAGTGGAAGAACACCGGCACTAGCAATGAGCAAATAACTGGGAACTCTGACCTTCCATTGTATATCAATAACTGCCTATGCATTTACCAGAAAGCATGTGACAGAGCAGATAAGATATAAAAGAAGAATATGAGTATGGGAATATTTCAGCTAGTTAAGAAGGTTAGGACCACCAAGAGAGCCCAAGGAGTTGTGATATAGGACATGATATTGCAAGCTAAATACCAATCATCTCTAAATGGAAAAAAACATTGTGAATCTCATAGAATTAGATATTTCAACTTGGGTTGTACAATGAGGAATGTCAAGTTATATCATCAGGTAGAGTTCGTAAGACATGCTCAAAATCAACAGAGATTCTAGAGTTTCATCAGGTTGGAGAGACCCACCAAAAACTTGCAATAAATGGCTTTCTTAAATGCTCTTTTTAAATGCATCATCTTGGTGAGCTCAATGAAAATGACTAGAAGCTTTACCACTGCTCAAGGAATAGAAACAATAATGGAATGACTAAGACATCTATAACTTCTGAGTTAAGTTTATAAGTATAGAATGGAAAATGTGGTATTTTATGAAGCAACCATAAACAGCTGAAGAGTTGTCACTATTGGGATCACATAAACTCTTAGCAGTCCTGAATGAATGGAACAAATAGCACTTGAATAACCAAACATTTATGAGAAAACAATTATACTGTGGAACATTACTGAGGTTTTATAATTTGAGGCAATTATACAGCAAAAGTATAAAAGACAAAAGGGAAGCTTTACACTCCTCCATGTACATACTCTGTCAGTCTGATGAAGTAATTAGAATCCTAAAATATCCTTTATGTCACTAGAATGGAAACAAGCTACTTAGTTTGTTTCAAAGCCACATTCACATTTAAATCTTAGTGGGTATACATCTCAAATGAGTTAAGTCTACAGTAGTCTAAATAATACAAATTCTGCTATTGGGAAAAGGTTAGGGTCATTTATAGTATTTTTTTAAATCTAAACAAGAAGAACACAGTCACCTGCAACTGTCTTGGGATCTGGCAGTCTTCCACTGGTGGAAGATTTGTGGTGGACACACACAACTGTAATTGATGCAGGTCAAAAACGTGTCAATTTGAGATGTTTGGGCATCTTCTGGAGAATACATAGGTAGAAATGTAATATTATGATCCCATCGTGACCTCATGGTTCAAACCTGTGGGAGAGAGCCCACATATTTAGTGTTTAGTAGCTTAACATATTTTGCTAATTTGAATTTTCTGGTTTGAGCCTAACATGTGCCTCATAGAGACCTGTGAAAACCTGTTTTCATACTGGGAACTAAACTCAAATTGATTTTTATATGTGACATCCTCTCACCAAGATTGTATGATGATCAAAAGACACATAACTATGTATATTAGTTCTATATATTAAGTTAAACCATTAAACAGAAGAATTTATGGGTTATGAAGTAACCACATGTTAAAATATGTTTATTTGTGGGTTTATTTAGCTATGCCTTATCGTTATAAGAGATTATGTATATTACAAGGTTAAAGTAGGAATAAACTACCTCAGACATACTTTGCAACAAAACTAGTCGAACAAAAAAGCTCATTTGTAACTGTGTTAATTATATAACTTTGAATGGTATATTTAGACTTGAATTTTGTTTGAATTAAAAAAACACTTTCAATATTCAGTATTTTCTCTGAAACAAAAGTGGTTGAGAGGCTCAGAAGATAGGGTTTTTAATCACATACTGCTTTGTCCTCAGCCTGAGTGTGAGACTTGAAGCCATGTAAGTTTCCTTTAGCTCTAAAAGTGAATATGAAATCGAATAAATAAAAGAATGCCCTTTCTCCAGCCAGAAAGCTTAGGGAAAATTACTGTCATATGGTAGTAAATTGGTTATCTCTATGGACCTTGTGACACCTACATTCGATCCTTCCTTTAAAATACTCTAAACCATCCTTGAAAACAGGTAAGATGGCATTTATATAAAAATAGCACACTTCTAACATCGATTCAATCCGGTGAGCACATTGACAAATTTGTGTTCCTTCTACTCTATTCTTGCTGACTCACAGCCAAAGCTAATAAAAAGTGACAACCACATATGAGTCAGCTGAGACAGAGTCAATCTGTTTCAATCAATCTGTAGAGTGTTAAAGGAAGAAAAACATCCAGTCCTGTGTTTCTCTAGGACTCTTGGTTTCCATGGTTACTTTATGTGATGTATGGGAAATCTTGGCTTGATTTTTGTTTCCTAGATATGAAACTAAGATTAATAAAATACCTAACGAGATCAAGCACCGAATCTAATGAAGAGCATCTGAAAGCTAGGTCTCTCCTTGCCAGTGGAAATTTACCTTTTACTGCATGTATGCATATTTACATGTGAGGAAACAGGAAAGAAGGGGCAAAGGGAAATAATGGTAAAAAAGCACTTGAAAAAGTTACAGCCATTAGCACTGACAATGTAAGATCAACAAACAGAACTCAGATCAGTCATGGGTAAAGGAAAACTCGGTTAGATCCCACTCTCATATCCCGCAAATTTTCCAAGAATTTGCCAGTGTTAAAAAGACCATAATCTTTGCTGAAGAGATAGCTCAGAGGTTAAGAGCACTTGCTGTTCTTCCAAAGGTCCTGAGTTCAAGTCCCATGCAACCACATGGTGGCTCACAACCTGGTACCCTCTTCTGGCATGCAGGAACACATGCAGGCACACTACAGTATAAATAATAAAAAAGGCCACAATCTGAGCTTTATTCTATTTCAAAATTAGGGCTTCCATCATTGAGTTTGAGCCAAACAGAAATCCACCCTTGGACTTGATTGGAGAGGGTGCTTATATTTTTTAAGGCTAATTTCTAACTATATTTAAATATGTAGATATTTTAAATTAATAGTATTCAAAAATAATAGAAGAGCAGTTCACCTACCCAGGATGGTTACTTCAAAATGTCCAAGGCCTCAGGCACTCAGAAATTCATCGAATTTCGGGGGTGGGGGCTTCCTTCTGGGGGTATGTATTTTGCAGGTTGAGAATTATACTGCTGGATGAGAAACGTTTCATGCTCCAAAATAAATGTCCGTGAAATACTTTCAGGATAAATATGACTATAATGTAGGTACTCTTTCAAGCTAAACTTTTTTTCTCCTCATAGCTGACTCTCCCATCCATAGTTTATTATTTTTCTGGACTTCCCTGTGGCACCAGCACTTAAACTTTCTCCACCTGTCCAAATCACAATGAGATAGGCACAGTTGACCCATAAACAAACTAAATCAAGGCATTCACCACATTTAAGAGTACAGATTAATGAGGAAGAGTGAAGCATCTTTAAAAATCAATCACCAACAAAATGAAAATCGAGTATCTAAAAGATATTTTTTCATTATTAATTACATTTGATTCACTTTGTATCCCTCCTGTTGTTCCCTCCCTCCTCCTGTCCCAATCCCTCCCCCCCTTCACCCTCTGCATGCATGCCCCTCCCCAAGTCCACTGATAGGGGAGGTCTTCTTTTCCTTGCTTCTGATCCTAGTCAATTAGGTCTCATCAGGAGTGGCTGCATTGTCTTCTTCTGTGGCCTGGTAATGCTGCTTCCCCCTCAGGGGGAGGTAATTAAAGAGCAGGCCAATCAATTCATGTCAGAGACAGTCCCTGGTCCTATTACAATGGAACCCACTTGGATACTGAACTGCCATTGGCTACATCTGTGCAGGGGTCTTAGGACATCTTCATGCATAGTCCGTGGTTGGAGTATCAGTCTCAGGAAAGACCCCTGTGCTCAGATTTTTGGTTCTGTTTCTCTTCTTGTGGAGTTCCTGTACTCTCCAGATTAAAAGATAATTCTTATTAAAGTTAGGAAAGAGGGGTCTGGAGGGATGGCTCAGTGGTTAAGAGCACTTGTTTTTGCACAGGATCTGGGTTCAATTCCAAGCACTCACATGATGGTTCACACCTGCCCATAACTCCAGTTCCAGGGGTCCAACACCCTCTTCTGGCCTATGTATGCATCAGGCACACATGCGGTACACAGACATACATGCAGTCAGAAAACCCATCTACACAAAATAAATAAATCTTTTAAAATGTGCAAAGGTTTTGAAAAAATTCAGAAAGAACTAAATTTGCTCTCTACATATTTTTTTCCTAAAATAATGGGTAATAAACTTTTATTTGTTGGAATTGTGGAGATTTGTAATTATCTTCTTTTTAGTAGGTCTACATTTTCCAAATGCTCTTAAATAAACACATTTCTTTGATGTAATACAACCAAGTGAAATCAGATTCATGACAATGATAATATTCGTTCATTCATTTATTATTTATTTCACTCAGCGTCAACTGTCAACTTGCTATAGCCCAGTCATTTGAGGGCATGTCAGGTAAGGGATGGCCCAGATCAGACTTCTCTGGAGCCATGTCTGTAAAAAATTACCATAGCTAATAATTGATCGTGGGGGTGGGGTGAATCAGGTAAGCAGTGCCATTCCTGGGCTGTAAGGTAGCTTACCAAGCCAATAAGCAACATGCTCTCTGGCCTCTGCTTCAGTTACTGCCTTATGGTTCCTGACTTTGGCTTCCCTCTGTAATGGACTCTCACATGTAAGCCAAATAAGTCCTCTTCTCCCTAAGTTACTTTTGATTAGTATTTTAAAATCACAGCAAGAGAGGCACACTAGGATAGTTTGTATTTCATAGTCTCATATAGTCCAGTTTGGACTATGAACTTATCCAACTGAGGTTGACCTTGAATCTCTGATCATTCGGCCTTGGGCTCTTGAGGGCTGGTGTTACAGGTAACAGTAAAAATAACTCATTATTGGTAAAATTCAAGCCTAAAATAAAACTGTTAATTTCTGCTAAAAGTGATCTGCACAAATACAGTCTTTTTCTCAAATAACATTTCTCCTACAAAAATTTACATTTAGTATGTATGATACTCATTTCAGATACAAATGGCATATGGTAAAGAAAGAGAGAAATAAATTGAGATTAAAGATCTCAGGACTTACTAGGGAATCCACTTGGATACTGAGCTGCCATGGGCTACATCTGAGCAGGAGTTCTAGGTTATATCCAAGAATCGTCCTTGGTTGGGGTATCAGTCTCAGAAAAGACTCCTGTAGCCAGATATTTTGGGTCTGTTGCTAGCTCTTTGACTGCCTCTCCCTGATGGAGGAGCAGCCTTGCCAGGCCACAGAGAAAGAAAATGCAGTCAGTTCTGATAAGACCTGATAAGCTAGAGTCAGATGGAAGGGGAGGAGGACCTCCCTTATCCGTGGACTTGGAGAGGAGCATTGAGGAGATGAGGGAGTGTGGAATTGGGAGAGAAAGAGGGAGGGGGATACAACAGTGACAAAAAAGGAATAAACTATAATTAACATAAAAAATAAAATTTTTTTTGCTCCAAGAAAATTTTTATTTATTTATTTTTTATTAATTACACTTTATTCACTTTGTATCCCCCCATAAGCCCCTCCCTCCTCCTCTCCCGATCCCACCCTCCCTCCCCCTTCTTCACGCATGCCCCTCCCCAAGTCCACTGATAGGGGAGGTCCTCTTCTCCTTCCTTCTGATCTTAGTCTATCAGATCTCATCAGGAGTGGCTGCATTGTCATCTTCTGTGACCTGGTAAAGCTGCTCCCCCCTCAGGGGAAGGTGATCAAAGAGCAGGCCAATCAGATTATGTCAGAGGCAGTCCCTCTTCCCATTACTATGTAACCCACTTGGACACTGAACTATCATGTGCTACATCTGTGCAGGGGTTCTAGGTTATCTCCAGGCCTGGTACTTGGTTGGAGTATGAGTCTCTGGGAAGTTTCCTGTGTTCAAATTTTTTGGTTCTGTTGCTCTTCTTGTGGGGTTCCTGTCCTCTTCAGCTCTTACTATTTCCCACTTCTTACATAAGATTCCATGCACTCTGCCCAACAGTTGGCCATAAGTCTCAGCATCTGCTTTGATAGTCTGCAGGGCAGAGCCTTTCAGAGGCCCTCTGTGGCAGGTTCCTAACTTGTTTCCTCTTTTATTCTTCTTCTGATGTCCATCCTCTTTGCCTTTCAGGATGGGGATTGAATATTTTAGTCAGGGTCCTCTCTCTTGATTAGTTTCTTTAGATGTACAGATTTTAGTAGGTTTATCCTATGTTATATGTCTGTTGGAGTGAGTCTATACCATGTGTGTCTTTCTGCTTCTGGGACAGCTCACTCAGGATGATCCTTTCCAGGTCCCACCATTTACCTGAAAATTTCATGATTTCCTTTTTTTTTTTCATTGCTGAGTAATACTCCATTGTGCAGATGTACCACAATTTCTGCATCCATTCTTCAGTTGAGGGACATCTGGGCTGTTTCCAGCTTCTGGCTATTACAAATAAAGCTGCTACAAACATGGTTGAGCAAATGTCCTTATTGTGTACTTGAGCCTCTTTTGGATATATGCCTAGGAGTGGTATGGCTGGATCTTGAGGAAGAGCTATTCCTAGTTGTCTGAGAAAGCACCAGATTGATTTCCAGAGTGGTTGTAAAGTTTACATTCCCACCAGCAGTGGAGGAGGGTTTCCCTTTCTCCACAACCTCTCCAGCATGTGTTGTCACTTGAGTTTTTCATCTTGGCCATTCTGATGGGTGTATGGCGAAATCTCAGGGTCATTTTTATTTTGATTTGCATTTCCCTAATGGCTAATGAGGTTGAGCATTTCTTTAAATGCTTCTCTGCCATTCGATATTCCTCTACAGAGAGTTCTCTGTTTAGCTCTGTTCCCCATTTTTTTAATTAGATTACTTGTTTTGCTGCTTTTCAATTTCTTTAGTTCTTTATATATACTGGATATCTACAATAAAAGATCTTCTGGAGGTATCTCCATCCCTGATATTAAGCTGTACATTAGAGCAACAGTTATAAAAACTGCATGGTACTGGCATAGAAACAGAATGGTGGATTAATGGAACCGAACAGAGGACCCAGAAATAAACCCACACACTTATGGACACCTGATCTTTGACAAAGATGCCAAAACCATACAATGGAAAAAAGATAGCATCTTCAACAAATGGTGCTGGTCCAACTGGATGTCTACATATAGAAAAATGAAAATAGATCCATACTTATCACACTGCACAAAACTAAAGTCCAAGTGAATCAAAGACCTCAACATAAAACCAGACACATTAAATTGGTTAGAAAAATGGGGAATACTCTTGAACTCATTGGCACAAGACAAAACCTCTTGAACAGAACACCACCAGCACAGGCTCTAAGAGCAACAATCAATAAATGGGACCTCATGAAACTGAGAAGCCTTTGTAAATCATAGGACACCGTCATCAAAACAAAACGACTGCCTACAGATTGGGAAAGAATCTTCACCAACCCTTTATCTGACAGAGGACTAATATTCAGTAAAAATAAAAATTTAATTTAAAAAAAAGATCTCAGGACTTGGGCTGGTGAAATGGTTCTGTGGGTAAGGGTGGTTGCTGCTAAGCCTGACAATCTGAGTTCAATCCCAAGGACTCAACATAGTGTCACAAGTTGTCATCTGAATTCTACATGCGAGCTGTGCTGTATGCACATACACACATGCAATTAAATGTGAAAAAGAGGTCTCTATTATTATTCTTCGTTATTTTAAATTTTGTGTATTTAAAATATATGCATGTGTGCAGGGCATACGTGTGCATAGAGGGTCAGAGGTTGGTAGTGAGTGTTTTCCTATATTTTTTTCTACCTTATTTTTTTGAGATAATTCCTTTAACTGAATGTGAAGCTTACTGATTATCTGGATTGGCTGGCCAGAAACCTCCAGGTATATGCCTATTTCTGTCTTCATGGCAGTAGAATTACAGCTCTGTGCTCTTCTGCTTGTCTTTTTAAGTGGGTGCTAGGGGTCTGAGTTCAGTTTGTCAGACTCACAGTGCAAGTCCTTTGTTGAGAAAACCATTTCCCTCGGACCCTATTAGTTTGGTATTAAGGAGTCAATTTTTTATCTATGTACAATTCAATCAGTATGTTTAGTTTCTAAAACAGAATATAAGTTATTCTTTCCACATTATGACATTTATTCAATAATTATTGAGTACTTATTATACATCAGACATTGTGCTAAGGAATTTGGTACAAATAATGTTTTGATTGAATAATACACCATTGAAGTAAAGTCACATTCATGCTAAAATAAGAACAACAACAAAAAAAAAAACAGATTTAAAAATAAGACTTTCATGTTTTCAGTTCTTCCAGCTAAGGCAAGCTATGAACAACTGTAATTTTATCAAGTTTGCCAAATTGCTTCTTTGCAATCACTTGTGTCTGGCTGTTGATTCCTGTAAT